ATCTACGGAGCTGCAAAATCTGCTTGCTGTCAGCTTAAAACCAGCACACGTCAACAATGTATTTATAGTTACTCTCACTTCCCAAACGGCAGACACAGGGCCACACTGCAAGTCTAACCAGAGGGTATTCATTCATCAATCAAATTATAAGAGCTACCAATTTAGCCATAGCTAACTAGAAAGCTCAAATTCAACAGCTAGCTTATCAGATAGGTAGATATATATTGAGCGTCAGCTAGCTTGTAAAGTAGATCACTATGATTAGCTAGCTAGTTTGATAAATAGCTCATGTTCATAAGCCAGCCTGTTTGATAGATAACTTACATTTGCTAGTTAGCTATATGGCTAATACTCACTTGCTAAATAGCACACTGAGAAATTCATTGAAATTGTCTTTAGGTTAACTTTTTTATCTCAACAAGAATACGACTTTTGGACATTTTCAAATGTCATCCTGTCAGTCACTAACAGAGGAAGGCTGTGGTTCTGTAAAACCACTCTATAGGCGCAGTGTGCTGTGAAGGATCCCAAATAAAATGTTGCACAATGCTGCTAGTGAAGAATTAACACTTTTTTACTCAACTGGGGATGGGGCTGGGCTACATAAACTGAATTGTGAAGGTTGAATTTCCACCACGTTTCCCTTTCTTCACTCTGACCCTCCTCTCTCTGATCTCAGGTTCAACAATGACCCCTCCATCGACGTGCTGCTGCTGACCACCCATGTTGGGGGTCTGGGTCTGAACCTGACGGGGGCAGACACGGTGGTGTTTGTGGAGCATGACTGGAACCCCATGAGGGACCTGCAGGCCATGGACCGTGCCCATAGGATAGGACAGGTACACACAGCAGGATACTCACACATTTACACTGTCAGGGCCCAGAGGCCTGTACTACGAAGCCGGATTTTTGCCTAGCGAACTAACTTCAGGGTAAACTCTGGGTTTCCGGTCCTACGACGCTGGTTCTCTTCTTACCGGGGTAGATCTCCATGGTAACTTATGCTGAGCGGCAAACCTGCTCCGGAGCAGGTTAGGTTCCAGGCTAAGAGCTCAACTCAGTGAAAGCACCGCCTGCTGACCAATCAGAGCTCAGTGTGCGGAGTTTCAAGCGATCAAGTCATATTACAGGAGAAAGGAAATACAGTTTAAACTGCCGTTGCAGGAAAGACGGCCGGCAAAAATCAACTGACTGAAGATTCTATTCATTTTCACGTTCACAGAGCAATCTGACTATTATAACATTAGCGTTAAGAAAGCTTACTTAAATATCTGCCACAACACAAGTAACCGGATCAGAGTAACATTACGTACAGTCCACGGCACTGAGTGCAGACGTCGATGTGTCCCATTATCATTCATATCACATCATAATGTATCATATCTCCTTATCTGAGCCGCATCTGTCCGTGCAACACTCACAGTGTCACATACTGTATGCAGAAGTATTATTTTAAGCAATGCATTAAGTTGACGAAACACTCGAGTCAAATGTAATTAAAGTCAGATCCACTTGTGTTTTAGACGGGGCAGTGATATCATAAACCTGTTAATGTACGCATTCAAACACTTTTTCTGTTCCCAGCTGTATTCACCTTGCAGGTGCAGCTCTGTGGCTTTGATCCTGGATAAAGTGTTTAAGTCATGGATGTTTAAAGTTTAACTTCTTCATATTTGACTAATATTAAAGTTCACTTTTCATTCAGGAAGTATGACGCTGCGCTGTCGGTACGCTTCTCCATATTTGTGATTGGTCAAATGTTGCTAACCCCGCCCCTTTGTGAACGCGCACTCAGCCGGACAGAGAAACCCTGGCTTGAGTTACCGAGTTGATAACCAGCGTCGTAGGACCGCTTAGCGAGAGCGCCTTTGTTTTGGGTTAGTTAAGCCAGATAACTCAAACATCCAGGGTCTGTTGAACTGGATTCATAGTACAGGCCTTAGGTGTCGTCTTTATGGCTTATCAATAATTTCTTGAAGTTGATGAAGGAATGCGATTGTTCATCAATTTCCTTATTGCATGATTAAATATGTCCTCTGAGCAGCCTTGGGTTTTGTGACACTTGTCGTCTTGTCTGAAACCGGTGATGTTTTGGTGCAGAAACGGGTGGTGAACGTGTACAGGCTGATCACACGGGGCACACTGGAGGAGAAGATCATGGGTCTGCAGAAATTCAAGATGAGCATCGCCAGCACTGTCATCACCCAGGACAACGCCTGCATGCAGAGCATGGGCACCGACCAGGTGCTCAACCTGTTCAGCCTCGACAAGGTGAGATAAAACCTTATTTTTTTATTTTACACTGCAGCAGAAATCCCCCCCATCCCCCCGGGGCAATGGCATTAAAACGATAAAAACGCTGCTGAAGGTAAATCCAATGTGTCTGTCACTTTGAAATGATTTCTGATCATCTATAAGCAACAAACCTGCTTTTCCGTTTCCAGATGTCAGAGCGAGAGATAGGTTCGCTCTGGGCAAAACTGCATGTGCGAAGCCCCCACTTTTTTTTATTAACGTTGGTGCGTATGTGGAAATTCCCCTTCGATTCTATTGGCTCTAACGGTTAAAAAGAGATGTCAATCACCAAAATCGACCATTCTGAATTTTCTTTAAAATGATAAACATCTATATTGATTCAGACTTTTCTACATCCAACTCACAGGTTTATCATTACTTTGAGACCAAAGATTATTAATTTCCCCCTTTTTAGAAGTGTAGTTATGGTCATTTGTTCTGGGAATGTCATTTTCGAGCCTGAGACATGAAAAACAGGACTGGGGTTCAACAGGTTAAAACTTAAATATTTAATTGAATCAGACTTCATTAGTTGAGCATGGAGAAAAACTGAAAACTACCAGAACATATTAGTTTTATATTCAGAGGATGAGCCATAGGAAAGAAATGTAACTTTAAGCATCAGTTTATCTTAAATCAGATGTGTATCTCTGTAGTTGGCATTAGATTATTATGTTGACTTTTGATTGTGTTTTTGGTTTCATGTTACTCTAAGTATTGGTTGTTGGCAGCTTTAATTGACAGACCATTTATTTTTGAGGTAAAATAAGACTTTCTTCTCCCTGCTCCTTTCCTTCATGGGTTACAAAAACTACTTAAAGTGTTTTGTTTTATAATAATGGCCACCACTCGAGCCCTAACTGCGAACTTTATGCGTTATCGAAGAATAGTTTCAGGACTGATGCTCTGTGCCTTGTGTTTCAGGGTGAGAGGGGGGAGCAGACGGCCTCCTCCTCAGGGAAGGACTCCATGAAGTCGGTGCTGGACGGGCTGGGGGAGCTGTGGGACCAGCAGCAGTACGACACCGAGTACAACCTGGACAGCTTCATGACCTCCCTGCAGTAGCCCCGCCCACTGTCTGCTGGCATAGCAGGACCTGGTCAGAGCCGAGGAGACCCCCCCCCCCCCCCCCCCAAATTCACTGATAGCTAATGGTTACACATGCCCCAAAGCAATGAATAAACTCAACCAAAATAGGAACTCCAATTTGTATTTAAGCGCTTTTGTAAAATAAAAAGAATAATAATTCTGATGTTTCTGATCATGGTCAGACATCCCGTAATTCCTTATTGAGGGCCCAGATGTTCCACAAGACCTCTTTAGAGAATATATCGGTATGATCCAGGCTGCACGAACACTGTTGGTTGAAGTCATCTCCGTTAGCAGCATCACTGTACAGTGAGGTCGCTGCTCCAGGTGATTCATCCCCCTTCTCCCACGTCGCATTGCCAGAGTAAACAGTGTTATTGGCTTCAGACATTATTACCCAGCAGCCCCTCCCTCCCACACCCCCATCACAAGGTCTTAAAAAGCACTGCGATTACCAGAATCCCCTTCCGACGCCTCTGTCATACAAAACACGTTTGTATCCATCAAATGAAAATGACCTGGGACAGCACGGCACTTGAAGCAGCATTACAGACACTGGGGGCGGGGCCAGGATAAAACTGGAAACTTCCTGAAACCTGTCACCAGTATTTTAAAAAAAACTTGTACATATTTCTGTAACTGCTGCTTTTTGTTTATGATCGTGGAATTGTAATAAATTCTACAGACCTTTTGAACTACATGGCTTGTTTTTTTTTTACTGCATGTGAATGATGATGGCCACTTGATGGCGCAGTTGTACATCCAATGAGACTGATGAGATAAATTGTCACAATCATATTTAAAGATCATAACATGCTTTACAGTATACAGCCACACACTGCAAAGGACAATATTTAAGAAAAGGATTCTAGCGCACTCGAGCTGGTTTCTCCAAAATTACCTACCCCACCTTTAATCCACAAAAAAAACAACATTTCTGTCTTTCAAGATTTATTTTTATATTACCTGATTTCTTTGAAGAGTTGAGAGTCCAGTCCCTTAACTGAGTTTTTATTTCTCCAATCATGTGACTGACGGGTCTGCTTTGATTATTCTTTTTAAATGTTCAAGTGAGAATATAGAATTTGTTTTCACATTTGTTTTGTTTTTTCAATAAAAATAAATGTCTGTACAAAACCCAAACATATTCAACAATATATATATATATATAGAAAACTGAGAAAAGCTTCATATTTGAGAAGCTGAAAAGAGCACTCCTAGCATGATTTATGAATTATCTAAATATGTGTCGATTAAGTTAATTGATCAACCATCAGCCACTTTGGTTTACTTACTGAATTTGTGAATCAAAAAGACAATTTGAAAAGAGAACTCAACCACATTCAGGTGGATTTTTACGGTAAAAATATTTCAGTGTACACCATTACCTTACAGTCTTAGTGGTTTCTTTATACCACAACATTTGAACATCTATTCTATAACAACTGGGCAGAAGCTGATATTTTTGGCTGCTTTGTCTTCATCTGAAAAATTAACTCTTTATACTGAAATGACAGATCATTATGTTTCGGATGGCCACAATGCAAGTTAGTACTGTTAGCTCTTTCTACGGTTTGAGGACAGAGAAGACAAGTGCCATGCCAAAGACCACAAAGTTTCACAGCATCATACAACTACGTTTAATAAGATTTGCTTATTAGTACAGAAAAAAGGAAAAATTAAGGTGGGAAATACAAACTCTGAAGCAGTAGTAAGCATTAGCAGCATTAAGCTCCATGTTTTCAAATCACAGTTATACTGCAAAAAGTTCAGACCAAGTCAACAATCTCAAAAGCCTCGCGAAGATAGAACCAGTGTCCAAGCACAGATGTCTTATAAAAAAAAAAAAACATTTAAAAAGTAGTGGGATGTTTGTGGGGAAGAAAGCACATTTTTTTTCTTCATCTATTTTGAGATCACAACATGACGAGACCGACAGTGTTTACCTACCCAGAGAACGCCCGTGAAGCAGAAGTGAATATACAGTACGCTACCAAAGTCTAGTTACATGAAATACATACGTATATCTATAGAGGAATATTTAAAATCACCCAACTCGCGGTCTATTTCATTTGCACACACACACTTAAATAAAAGGCCAGGACAAAGAGATGAGAAGTGAAAAACATGGGGTGGGGGTGCTTGGTTTTAGCTTCAGCTGTAGCCTATAAACTGGTAGACAAGGCCAGACAGAAATAACATTCTCACATGAGCACTGAAGTCTCTTTTTTGAGGACAGGAAAGAAAGTAATAAAAAACATGTTTGACATTTTGGGATTTGTTTGAAGTCTTGTGAATTTTTAGCCTGATGTTCGTTAGCTTAGCCTAGCATGTAGATTGTTGAAACTATCCTGCCTTTGTTAAAAGCTTATTTGATACATTCATACGAAACAACGCTTTTTTTCATTTAAAATGATACATTAGTTTATTTTGAAGCACTTCACTGCTTCCAAACAAGAATAGCTTTAGAGGTGCTGTTAAGCACATCATTGGCCTCCAGTACCTATGCTATGCTAGCCTACTTAGCTAATAAATCCTTCTATAGCCTACCTTAAAAGCTCAAGACAAGGCTTTAAGGCGTCAAAACATGTCATCTGTGCTCAAACAACAATAAGTACAACATGTAAATACGTTTACACTTAACTATGAGCTATAGTTTTTTAGCAGAGTGATAATGCTAGGCTAAGCTAAAAATGTGCAGCTCTTTATGTATCGTAAGGTATCCGTTTTCAACTCTTTATCTTGGCAAGAAGACAAATTAACTCACAAAAAGGTCAAACTATTATTTTTTAAGGAGAGCAAAAGCGAATTTTGAAATACAAAGTAGACCGCCATAATCAAAAGTTGGGTAAGACAAAAACACTTAAGACCAATCTCTCCTATGAATAATTAAGATTCTACAGTTACACATGCCTTTCCCAAACATTTGTATATTACACAGTGAATCTCGACATTTACATTCATACTTAAATACAATCACACCAGTGCACAATGCAGGGACTGAACCAACTACTAAGAAGAGAATATTTCATATGTGAGGAAATGTTGCCCTCCACTGCACGAAGTGAGGAGGAGTTATTGTAGTTAGTGGTAATAGTTGCAGCAGTAGTAATTGTAATAGTTGTAGTAGTAGTAGTAGTAGTTTGGGAATAGCAGAAGCAATGTCAATTGTCAGTGTTGTTGTCCATCTTCCACAATTACATCACAACATACTGCATGTATGCTCCATTCTGCCATTTTTATTTTATTGCCCATTCATTTGTATACATTGCAAATCACTTAAACATCACCAACCACCAGTCTGCTGTTTGTGAAGAGTTTCTTTTTCTTTTCTCCATGGATCAGTTTCACACTAATGTAAGCAACATCAGTGAGTTAACACATAAAGCTTAGCATTTCAAGAATCGAGACACTTTAGTAACAATATTACAAACTTTTTTTTCAGCTTTAAAAAAATGAAAAAGGTGAACAAACGAAAAAAATAAACTTTTAAAGAATTAGCATCATAAAATTAATTTATTCCAAGTAAAAATACAAAATAATATTAATGACATTGACCAGATATGAAAGTCTCCCCCAGAAATAATGGTTGAGAAATAAGTCTGTAAAGAAAGCAATACGAAATAAAAAGGAAAATATGTAAATATGTTTAAATTCTTTTCTTTTTTAGCAAAACTTTCTAAAAATAATGAAAATTTCTCAGTACAAAGGCTACATTACTACTGGAAGGTACTAGCAGGTAGAGTAGGTAAATACACAGTAGAAAATGATTTTAGTGAATCACAATGCTTGCAATGAAAATAATTCTGCAATAAAGATTTATGCCTCTTTTTCTTGTTTTCTTCTTTTCTACAAACAGTACAAACAGTATTGCACATTACAACAAAGAATCAAGGTTCTTAGCCTTAAAATGGGATTAATTCAAGTCTTGCGTGAATAGAAGGCCACCAGTCAATTGATGCACCTCGGGGGCTTTCGATCAAGTTACAGGTGAAAACACGTGTGTCTGTCTGTGTTTAAAAATAACATTCTCGCCTCTCTACCTCCAGCTGTGTGACTCTCACAAGTCTCTTTTTATGTTTCTCCCAACGACGTTAGGCTACCTAATCAGCGTCATGTTGCTTTTTTACAAAACAAAAGGGAGCACATACTTTTAGGAAACATAAAAAACTTCTCTTAAAAAAATAATGAACAGAAGATCTCTTTCACAACTCTGGTCAGCATAGTAAATGATTGATTATAAATATACAAAAACGTGGGAAACATGTTCAGTTTTATCTCTGAGCACCTGATAGTTTATTTTCTTTCCTAAAGAGCTTATCTCTGATGTTTCGACCAATTCGACCAGTGGGACACTCACGCTCACTGCACTCTCACTTACTACATTATTATATTAGTTATAAAGCTCTAGCTCCTTCAGTTGTTGTCTTTTCAAAAAAATAAATTCTTAAAATAAAAGCAAATAAGCATGATAAAGTAAAAATCAACCATCTGTTAAATCATTGTCTCTTTAAGAATTAAATTAATATATATTTTTTCATCTGAATAAACTTACTTAGAAAATATCAGTTTCTCTCCTAATATATTTCAAAATTGAGGTATTGCAAAAGATCTTGTCAGTCATAAAGCACGCTTTATCATCTTCTTTTTTTTGTCTCTTAACAAAAAGAACTGCTGACCGTTGAAAACTGTTCCGATACAAAGAGTAGTGCATAACAAATATCTATCATAGAGAAGGAACAAACATAGAAAACCTGTCTGGGTAGGGAAAGAAATATCACAAAAACACCCAGAATTCACTTTCATAGGGATACTTATTATTACTTGTGGTTAGCCTCTTCTTTTTTAAGTCTTTTTTTATATCAGTAAAAAAAGTATCTTCTGCTTTGTTTCAATCATTTTGCTTAGACAACAAAAACCTCTTTCCTAAAGCAAAAAAAACAAAACAGTTTGCGACTGAAACGAGAAAGAGGAAAGGGACTACGGGCTGCCGACACGGGACAATCACAACTCACGGACAAAAAGAAGGGACGACACATTTACTTGCAATGATGTAAGATCCCGTTCGGATTGTCCAAAAAACGGCTAAAACCAGTGTAACTTGGCCCCCCCTCAGCCCCTAACCCTAAAAAGGAGCCGCCTTGTCTTCGGCAGCCCACGCCCACCCCTCCATCTTGTCTGAACTGCGAACCATAACCTTTTAATTTAAACTAAGAGAAATATATGTCCACCTTTTTTTAAGCAGGTCCATTACTTCAAGCTTTGCAGGAAAAAAAAATCTTGATAAATATGGTTGCACATCGGCACGTTTTAACAATAGAGTGGTGCAGGGATAACGTATTTCTGTAAGCCAACCCGGAAGTTAGCATCGCCCTGGTTCCCTTGGAAAAAATCAAAGGGATCTTCAAATAGGATTTTGGATAACTGTAGAATATATCAGCTCAAACAAACGGAATCGGGAGAATCAAACAAATGAATACCACATATGTGATTTTTGAAGATAGATGTAAAAAGTTAGTCACAACTTCAAGGTCATCACCGTTGAGCTAACCGCCGTTAGCAACCACCTTTTTTAAGATGCGTTAAACCTTCAAAGTGAGTGGGGTATATCCGGACGTATTTTATGTTGTTTAACTTAACTTTTAAGCCTCTTTAGCTTGTGTCAACCACATACCTTATTTCAGGCGTCTAACAAAACCTATTAAAACAACCCATTGACTTAGAGAAAAGGGAACCGGCAAAAGGGCGAAATGCTGACTAATTTTCGGGTGTTTTAGGATTCCTGCAGCACTCTATTATTCCCCTGTACCCTCCCCAGCCATGTGGTGAGAGCCTGTGCATAGCTCGGTTTATCAGCCTCAAGTCTCCAGTAGCTTAATGTTTGACTGTTAACCCCCCCCCCCCATTCTTCTTCCAACTGCCCTCTTTCCTCATCTAATCGACTGCCTCTTCAGCCATTACGAGCTGCAGTTGGCTCTGCGTGTTTGGCGTCCGTTAAAACACGTGAGCTCTTTGGTTGCGTTCCGAGACATTAGCGTGGGTTGTTTTTTGTGTTGACGACGGAACAAATCAAAGAAAGATCTCAGTTCTCAATTTAAGCTCACATTGTCTTCTCTTCAGATCAGACTGTGGAATCATAGGCCTGTTTGTGTGCGTAAGAAAGACAGCCGTCCATGTGGGTGTGTGTGTGTGTGTTTGTTTATGAGTGTCAAGAGGCTTCCATGTATACTGGTGCAAGTGTGTGTACAAGAGAACATATATACGTGTGCATACACTAGTTATGAAGTTTCACAGGACTTCTATGTCGGACATTGACGACAGTTAAAGCGAATCACAGTTCTAGGCATACTCAGACCTAACTACATACGGTATAAAAAATTGCACAATTATATCAACAATCACTGCAAAAAGTTACTTCACCTATCATAGACAGTTTTAAATGGTAATCCTACATTTAGTTTGATTTGTGATTATTAAGGTTGTTTTTTTTGCCTCCCTGTCATCTGGATGTGTTCACTGCCTGTTCGTAAAGGCGCTTTCTTCCGTTAGCACGTTTAGCGACGCGGAGTCGTCATGACTCCTCCAATCACGACTTCCTGACTTTCTGTCCAGATTCCTGCGGTTTGAATGTACGCCTATAGTGTGTTGTGCAAACATGGGCAGAATCGAATAGTAGACATGATACTGACAAGTCTATTGCATGCAGCAACCTGATTGAAATAAACATGCAGTTAGGGGCGACCCACCCCCGACCCCCCCCACAAAGGTAACCATCGTTTCACAGGGGCGCCCCCTCCCCCGGTGACAGCTCGTCATTTTACAACACCAGGATCTTCTCTTGATCTCATTATTTTAGCCTGAATAAAGTACTTATGGTATCCGTTTATACCATGGATTTAGCAGCAAAGCTATTGTAGCATTACATTTACATAACACTAAAAAATGATGTTATTATAAAAATAAAGACCTAGAAATCAAAAGCAAACTAATCTGATTGCGCATATGAGGTATTAATATTCTCAGAGTCAAAATTGATTGCGAATATAGCCGTGTTATTTTTACTCTGGGCAATATGGGCCCACACTACTGGATAGCTGCTTTGCTACATCTTACGCCACCTTTTCAGCTTTTCTGTATGCATTCATTTCATTTGCCTTTGGTAATTTTTTTTTTAAGTAGGGGCAATATAACTACAGCTTTTCAAAATAAGTGCATGCTCCTTTTACATACAATTTAAATTATCTATATATGTATAGATAGGTACAAAACAAAAAATATATACTTTTTTTAAATATTTGTAAGGTCTACCTCACGTCTCGGTGAGGAGGACGTACCACACCAACTGCTCCAAACAGCGGGCAACTGAAAGTAGCCTGGTGTCTAACATACCATCCTGTGTGTGTGTGTGTGTGTGTGTGTGTGTGTGTGTGTGTGTGTGTGTGTGTGTGTGTGTGTGTTTAGTGAGATGTTGTGCAAGTTCAATTCTAAGTTGATAGACTTTCGCATTTCATTCCCCGACAATGCTTAATCGGAGCGGTAGACAATGAGTTCGAAGCCGTGTGGTATGAAGACAGTCCCATGGGTTAGATGGTATCCGTTTACTTTTTTCATGTTTGTGGGGGAGTGGGGTGGAGTAGGGTGGAGGTGTGTGTGTGTGTGTGTGTGTGTGTGTGTGTGTGTGTGTGTGTGTGTGTGTGTGTGTGTGTGTGTGTGTGTGTGTGTGTGTGTGTGTGTGTGTGTGGGGGGGGGTGTTGCAGCGCTGCCTGTCGGGGTTGAGTGTGGGTTCACCGGGGCAGGGCTGACTGGTATACCCCCCCTCAGCTCCAGCGGAAGGACACGTGTCGGGGGCGGTCGCCTCCCTCCTTCACCAGTGGCTTGTGAAACTCTCGTCCGGCTCGTGAGTGGATGCTGGCCCAGCAGTACTCGCAGTAGTACTGCAGGCAGGTGACGTTGGCACAGAAGAAGGGGGCGAACTTCCCCCCACAGCGAGCCCCCTGGCACTCATCACACATCTGGTCGTCCAAGACGTACGGCTTCACCTCCACCTGGAAAGAAGGAGGACGAGAGGTGGTGCTTAGTTTAATCTCATACACAGATGTGAAGTCCAGCACAGTTAGTCATCCTGTTAGGAAAATGTGGATTCCCATATGCCCTCTGGATTACTACTTTTTTTAAATGTGGATTATTTAGAAGATACACATTTGTTATACGAGAGTAGTAAAGTGGTGCAGGTATGAGTCCTTAACCCGGAAAGGACTCAGCATTTTAGCATTTCCAGGTTCCCTCGTCATGTTTTTTTCTTCTTTTTTTTTTCCGGTTAAATGCCTGTCTGTGTTTAACATAAAAAACGTAAATAAAGACTACAAAACACCATTGTGCCAAACATTAGCCACTTTTTGCTTAGCGGTGTTAGCGTGAAGTCATATGATGGTCATGTAGTTTGTTTAAAGCATTACGTTAGCGGTTTTCTACTGGGGATTGCAATTGCACTTTTATAAATGTCTTGTTAATGTGGAGATTATACTACTGACAAAATGCGAAAGTTTGATGACCGTGTGTCTTTTGCGAGAATGTCCATAGATTGTATGTCTTATAATAAAGCTGGTTGCCAACAAGTGACTAAATGAGACTACTAAACGTCATCACAGCAAAACATTAGCTGCCTTTAGCTAAGAGTTGTTGATACACAGCCATGCGACAGTGATGTAGTTCGTTTATAGCCTAATGTTAGCTTTTTTCTGCCTCAAAAATGTGTGGAGTTGAACCTTTAGCTGTTGAACAGACACAAATAGCCTGTAAACGTGGGGTAATAACAGCTAGGTTGATCCAATTGCAAACCCTGTTCCTTTCTTTCTACTGAGGCAGGTATTATTCAGTAAAATTACTTTGACCACTGAGACGGGAGACACAAAAAAAGAGAGCTCAGTCGCCATGGAGACGCCTCAGAGCATGAACAGGCAGGGGTGGATGCTAACCTTGTTATAGCATAGCCACAAAATGAAAGGTTATTGAATCCTTCAACAGTAGCAGACCATCCCTCTGAGCTAACAACTGGACTGTTGTGAGCAATAAGCTTCCTCCAGACAAAGAAGAAGACAGCCAGGCAGAAACAAAGATGTTGCTGTTAAATGAGCAGGTCTCCCTTGAAAAAGAGATCAATGATCTCAAGGGATACACCTGGATAAATAAAGGTTTGAAATGAAAAATACCAATTTCAACTCAGTGTCCACAGAGCTGACCAGGGGTAATGGGTTTCTATGTCCTATCATCGAGAGCCATTACAATGAATGGGATTGTAGATGCCCAGGTGAGAGGAAGGGAACATTTGAAAACAATTGATTAAAACAGGCATCCATATTCCATAGAATGACATATTTTGTATTTACTTTAATCCACTTTATTATTTTTTCCATTTTTCTTCCTCCTCTATCTACTTGCTAACCCTATTGTTGGCATAATTATAAGTCTGTCAATCTTTGTGTCTACTTGTCTGTCTGTCAAGAGGATTACAGAAAAACTATTGGTTCAATTTTCATAAAACTGGTTGGAAGGGCGAAGGGAAAGGGGTGGCTTATGTTACATAGCGAGATGAGTCATTTGTGTTCAGTAAAATGTAATGTAAACGCTAACACTATCGTCTTGTCGAATGATCAAATAGAGACTTCACACCCGACAATATATACCAGCACTTACTATCATTGTCTTTTTAAGATGACATATGTGGCAAGGAAATTACATTTTTAAAGTGTATGTAGAATAAGCTTTGTCATTTTGTTATTCCGGTACTACGTACCATTTAAATAATACAAATAAAATAACCATGATGAAGACAGGTATGCGTTTTTCAGGGGATATTTTGTTTAATTGGCAATCTGAATAGGTCACTATAGCCCATTACCCATTCAGCCTATTTATGGGGGGCCAGCTCTCTCCCCAGGCCCTCCCACCTCACAGGGCCCAAAACAATTGCCTTGCCTGCTCTGTATATGGTTACAGCTCCGCATCCAAGCAGCATTGGACTTCTTGTTGATTTAATAAATAATGCAGTTTCCCTTTTTTACTGCTTTATTTTATTTTCTGTACTGCACATCATTGTTGTTCAGGGGTTGGGCTGGGTTAGAGGGAGAAAACATGACAAATTGTAAGCCAGGCAATGTACCTACTTTCGTTTTTAACCATAAAAACTATTTAAGAAAAAACCCTGTTCAAACCCTGTTTCCTACAGACTTCCAGTCATAACACTGTTCCCTTAATCTCCCACTGAAGATGGATGGTGATAGCTGAGTTAGGGAGGACCGCTCCGCCCTGCAGAGGCTCGGCTTCCTGGCTGACAACCAGTCTCTGTTGGTCACGATCTCTCCCGCTGCAGGGGCCGGTGTGCCTAAAATAAGCAGGCTGCAGCACAGCCCGAGTGGATATACATGTATAGGGAACTACTATAATTAACCCAACCCTATGTGTCTGCAACTCGAAACATCTGTCGGACTCCGGCAGCCAAAGGCCTTGGCCAGGGCCTGGCCTCCCGTTATTGTAGGGCTGTGCGGAGGCAGAAAAGCCAGCTATAATGAAAGCTGGGATACATGGGAGAGGGCTCAGTTCTGAAGCATGCCTTAGGAATGACTGCGAGAAAACCTCAGGTGTGGTGGAGACGCTGCTTCCCCTCAGAGGAAGGATGCCGTGAATGAGTGAAGCGCATGAACTCGCTCACCCTTTTGTCGATGTCATTGTGCTGCAGCTGAACGAAGCGAGCGCTGATGGCGGCGATGTAGCTCTGCTGATTGGAGAAGGCCACACGCCCCGCGCCCTTTGGATATTTGAGCTCCGGGTCAGTGTCGATGCCAGCGTAGCAAACACCTCCGTACAGCCGGTCCATGATCATAGCCAGCTCCACTGCAGGGAAGAAGGGAGGAGAAGATGATTAAAGCTGCAGCCAGGAGTTCCTGCGAGTCCTTCTGACCACACATTGAAAGCATTCAGCCCCTCTTAAAGTGAAAGGTTTGTGATTGTTATTAAGTGATGTAAAAGTCTACCCTCCTGCACTACTCATCAGATCGGTCTCAAACTGCTGGTATAATTAGTCGGGGTCACATTGCAGCGATGTTTATCCCAAGAACAGAAAGACTGAGCCTCCCGTTACACCATGAATTCTTTACATGACGCTTGGCCCGCTTCCTGGAAACCCAAGTAGAGGATTGCTTTCTCACAGGGGGAACTTTTCATTACAGCCTCTGTGGCCCGTGCCAGCCAACGTTATGAAACCAGCTTTTGGGGGATCGCAAGAAAAATATACTGCATTGATATTGGGTAGTTACCGGCACGAAGGGGCCGCGGCACCCCCCCCACAAAGATGGTTTTGCGGGGGTCCAGAGGCTGGGAGCCGTCCATGACAAAGTCGCTGTCGCTCAGGTTCCAGGGACGGATCTGGACCTGCAAACAGGAAGAAATGTGCTCATTGAAAGGCAAAGTGTGTTATACTTTTGTTGTATTCTTTATTTCCTAGTGGTGCAATGATGACGCATATTTGTAGGCTGACATGAACGAGTTCCTCGAGTTTTCATTTGCTAAAAAGAGCTCTTTGGCAAACATATGATTTTGAAACGTACATGTTTTTTCCACACCTCCACATATCAACCCCACTTTGTGATTTTTAAAGCATAAATGAAATTGCCAGAAGTAATTAGGCTATAAATAGACTACATCACGGTCGCATCGCTGCGCATCACCACCGCTAAGCTAAAGGCGGTAAATGTTCGCTGTGATGACGTGGTCTTCTTTAGCCACTTGTTAGCAACCATTTTTTTAAAGAAAAATAGAAGCTCCAAACATTCACAAATTAGGTATTTACTGACGTATCTTATGTCGTAGAACAAAACGTGAACATCTCTCCAGCTTGGGTGAACCACAAATCCTTTTCAAGCATTTAACCAAAACACTTAAAAAAAACATTTGTTATGAGAGGTGGGAACCGGAAGTAGTTACATTCTAACTCATTTCTGACTCATTCCTGCAATATATTTATCAACTTTATTCCTTTTTTAGTGAACAATTATGAAATTAAGAATGATTTGATTCCAATTCATTATGCAAAAATGTGTCCAAAAAACGATTGACATTAAGGACAGATTGGAAAATATGAATAATAATGTTAACACTATCTGAACAATCTACTGCTCCTTGAATGTCCGGCGCTCACCGGTTTGTCTTTGATGGTGGGACTGGACACACACAGGTACAGCTTGCCGTCCTCCTCGATGCAGGCGTCGATCAAGGCCTGGACAGAAGTCTCTTCCTGGAAGAGCAGGAAGGCATAGCCTGGAGAAAAGGGCAAATAAATACAAATATAAGGATATGTGTGGGACCCATAGTAACGTTGGGCTTATTAATGGTCTAAGAATGTACATGAATGTTCATACAGATGCATCATTCAATAGATCTGGCTCAAGCTACGTTGCAGCGATCTGCTTGTCTTCCTGTATTTTCAGGCGAGCAAAAGTGGTGAAAAAAACATTTATAAAAGTAGTGACACAGATGTAATGAACGTGAAAGGTCACACACTAACCATAATGCAGATATGAGATTTATATCACATTGTTAATGTAGCGTCACCGGTTCAATGACAAGTGTCTTGTGCGTGTCCCGTGGGCCGGCTAGTTGCTAAGTTGTGTATTTGTGCTAAATATCGTCAGTGAGAGCGCATGGTGGGTTAATGGCAAGCTTAATGTACTTTTCAACATTATACATTTTATGCAAGCTTGAGATGGTACATGAAGGTTTATACATGTATCATTAATTAGACAGAGCCGACAGTATGTAGCTACATTGCAGTGATGTGCTATTTTTATATTTTAAGAACAGAAGCGCTATTTATTTTTAACTTGGACACAAAAGTTACTTGCAGTTGTGCCTAAGTGTTAAATACAAATGAAAGATACTCTCAAATCAAAAACTTGCATTTAATAATCCTACCCTTGTGAGCATGGTGCTTAAACACTGTGCTATGGCAACACTTCATAAACATGGGAGCATTACAACAGTATCTTCATTGTCACATTCCATCAATAAGCCCAATACTTCTTTCCTTGTAATATTAATAGATTCAAACAAATGTGTCTCTACTCAGGCATACGACCTAGTGGCCTGTTCTGTCCTCGCCTGCCTCCATAAGACCTGTAGCCTGCTTCCGATTGAAACGCCTCAGAGGGCTCTGCTTCTGAAAGACCCGTGCAAAATGGACCTTCCTGACACACTGCACATCTTCCTGAGAGTGGCTTCAGGTATAGAGACTTTGGTGATGTCTTTGAATTGCTTTCTGCCTCACTGTACTGTTGAATTATTTAGCATCGAGAGCAGAGACCTCATCCAAGGTCGGAGCTATTAAGCCGTTTCAGGAGGGACAACAAAAAAAAACTCAATAGGGGAACATCCATCACACGACGCTACGGGGGGCGGCAAGCAAAAGAGATCCGATTTATACCGAGAAAGGAGAAGGAAACAAGAGACGAGAGTCACTTTTTGACAGCCAAATCCTAATAATGCAATTCTTGGCCAAAGGAGGCGAGGTGACGAAGGCTGGTGAATTATGATGGTGTCGCTCTGGTTATGTTAGCAGGAGCCCCTCACCACCTGTGGCCCCCATGAGTCAGGGGAATATGAGCTGCCTTTTGAGAGGAGCAAGATATGCACAAGATCACACACACATCCAGAATCCTCTACTGGGGCAAATTGACTTTTGCAGCTGCTAAGCCTACACCAATAAGACAAGAATAAACCTTTTCACAAAAGGTGAACAAATAGCATATCGTGCTCCTGTGGTATTGTGCACATATTTCAATTAGGTGATATACAGTATGTGCAGTTTGGGCATACTCAACCCCTTTCTATTTAAATAAGTCTTAAAGCAAAATCAGCTCATTAAATGAATAGAAAATAAGTTGCTTTTTTTTGCCTAAAACATTCTTCAGATTCTTCCCTCTCCATCTCAAGCAGATTAACACAGCAACATGAATAATTGCGATGAGAGGCAATAGAAAAGGGCAAATTGCACTCATATATGGAACTTGGAATATCATCATTTGTGCAATGTCTATTTTCTGAATTGGACATTGAGACCTGGCAGATATTCGGTGCACATCATGTGCAGTTAATGGAGCCATCAGTGATCAAATCCATTCTGCAGTATCATCTCTGTGTCCAACTTCCCACCACTCAGTTTGAAGTGTCTCTGGAGACGCCTGCTTTAATAAGCGAATAATTTAAATATTCAAAAAGTATCCCAAAATAAAATTGGGGAAGCTGCTTTTATTGGAAAAGCAGCTGTGGAACATTAAAGATAAACTCAATGGACAATTCTAAACGACAGCTGGAAATGTTGTAAACATAGCTTTAAATAAGCAATATCCTCCTGCTATTGGTATTTCTTTATTTTTGTATTCATTAATTGTATTTATTTATTTTATTGTATTATTTAATGTATTTGTTATAGGACTTTTCTCTTACATTTGTATTACATGCTACTTTATACTTTTATTCCACTACAAAATATTTAAAATGAGCTCCACCTTTACCAGCTGTAATGAACACAATATTGCATCACTATTCGTATTCCACTAATCTAATATATATCATTTTTCAATGCACTATAAGTACTTTTGGTATCTTCAGAATATTTTCATGCCAATAACTGTGAGTATTTTTACATTTTTATATCATTAAGTATAACTTCTGAATACTTCTTCCACCACTGATCCTGTGTATGAAAAGTGCCACACACACACACACACACACACACACACACACACACACACACACACACACACACACACACACACACACACACACACACACACACACACACACACACACACACACACACACACACACACACACACACACACACACACACACACACACACACACACACACACACACACACACACACACACACACACACACACACACACACACACACACACACACACACACACACACACACACACACACACACACACACACACACACACACACACACACACACACACACACACACACACACACACACACACACACACACACACACACACACACACACACACACACACACACACACACACACACACACACACACACACACACACACACACACACACACACACACACACACACACACACACACACACACACACACACACACACACACACACACACACACACACACAAAAGTGGAAATTGGCAAAGAGGAATGGGCATCTGTCATGGTTCACTAGAGCATTCCTGAGTGGAGCTGCTGCAGAGGGGAGTCGAAGCAGAGGAGAGTCGAAAAAGAGCTGAGTCGGCAGAGCCAGTCAGCTGTGGTATGTGCACGAGTGAGAGTGTGCTGCTGGACGGAAAAAGGGGAGGGGAAAAAGAAAAAGGCATCAAAGGGGAAATGAAAAAAAAACAGGTGCGTAAGCAGCCATATGTGTCCTTAACAGTTGCTGCTCTGAAAGCGGCTTCTGTCTGTGTGACGTGTCTCCTGATGCATGTGACATGTCCTCTGTCAGTGACGGGACCAGTGTCTTTCTCACATTTGTGTCTACAGTAAATCAATCGAAAACCCATGAGGTACAAGAAATGTCACATCTGATGATTTCTACTGGAATAAAACCATGCATGTGCATAAAGGGCATTGCAAATGGCGCACATCCACCAAACACAGAAACTAATCTGAATAAATCCAGTTATCAGTTTTTCAGGTTTGTTCTTCGTTTAAAGATGTTTTGGCAACCAGTGCCTTTATTTGAGTGACAGCTATGAAAGGGGGAGTTGGAGGGGAGTACATGGTCCCGGGCCGTACTCAAACCCGGGTTCTCCGCTTGGGGACGAAGTCCCAGTACATGGGCCATCAGCTCTACCAACTGAGCTTTATATGTGTGGGGGGGGAGGGGGGGTATATATATTTTTTGAAATCCTCTGGAGCAGAGAGAGGAGCTGTGGATTATTGTTACTTATGAATGCATCAGTGTTTCTTCAAAACACTAAACTCACAACTTAAAATGAAAGTCAGTCGTTATCCGAGTCAAATCTGGAAAGTGACCGTAGATAGATTACTTCAGTTGCAATTTGGTGCTATATATATATATATATATATATATTATAAAATACATTTTAAAAAAACCAATTAAAAAACACCTTGAATTTCAAGGGGGGGGCACGGGGCTCCGTTGGCGGGGCGCAGCGGTAGGGGAAACACTGGACATATATAGTTGATCAAAGTTGGGGTGCTGATATAAGATAATATTGGAAACATAATTTAAAAACCCTTTTCTGTACCACAACCTTTTTAATTTAACAATGTGCCACACTTTCAATACTGCAAAAATATAGATTTTATGTAATGCAAACAAAATAGGAGGACAAAAAAAAGAAGAGATCACCATGATCACCTCACGTAATAGGCTGATAAGTGCTTGCCATGGCCCCCAAGGCCAATTCAAGTGCCAATAAAGTCTTATTATAATGGCAACAATGATAGAGATGATGGAATAGTAGGTTTTTGATCTCGATAAGCATTGATCGTTAAGTGATGGTAGCATAGACGCTATAATAATCCATGTGTCCCTTTTTGCCCAATGTCAAACTGAGATCTACGCTAACACACTAGCATTCCCACTGTTGAGTCATTACTTACATCCTGTTTTATGTAGAGTAACCACAGAGGCTCCTTAATTAAAAGTCTCCAGCAGCTTGTTATAAGAGCCGTGTAGAGTCACGTAAGGCTAATAACCTCGGTGGGGATATACTGTTACCTCTAATAACAAGCTGTACCAGAGGGAGCAAAAAGAACCCCACACACAATGTGAAGCTAATTGCAATCAGCTCCTTTAAGTGACCCGCTTAATCTTTTAGTATTCGTTCAACACAGAACCCCAAAAAATGTGACTCGACATAAGGAGGGTTTTATGCATTGTCATGTTTCTCCACGTGCCGCGTCATCGCCCGGCATAAGACCATGTCTCTGTGTTGCCGGGTTACATAAAGAGGGTTTGTCATTGGCATAAATCATGTGGTTTAGCACTGACATCCCCCCTCAGAGAAAAAACAACTGCAATCTTAAAAAAAAAAAAACAGCATGAAAAGGCAGAGCTAGCCAGCAGCGCTCAGAGTCTGAAGGAGGGGAACAACGTGTTCCATGACCCAGGGCAGGAGAGGAAGGGGGGAGAGATATGGAAAGAGGGGGGGGGAGTGAGAAAAGGCAGGGAGAGAGGCAGCATGAACGAGTGCCATACACACAGAGTTAGGAAAGTGCTACTTTAATACACCCTGTTAGAAATGTAACACACTGAAGCAAGACAACCTTTACTATGTTCTACACTCAATTTTACAATCACATACAAATGGTGTATCCGCTGTCAAGTGAGGTAACTTAACTCCCAGCAAGCTTCTTTAATATTCATTGGGTTATTATTTGAACAAATCTAGTGATATATAAAACATAAATAAAAAGAAGGCCTCACCTTGTATGCCCTTATTCATGAAACTAAAATAAGAATGTATTATCAATTTAAGTGCTTCCCCTTGTAAAGACTATGAGACCACTGGTGTGCAACAACACTTGCTGTTTGTACCCAGGTAAAATGATTATGTGTATATATACAGTCTGATGATTGTGCATGCCCTTCATCTAAGAGTGTTTTCTTTTTTGTCTCTACAGTATCTTACTTTTGCTGTAACAATGTACATTTCCCCTCTGTGGGACAAAACGGAGGAATTCTGATTCTGAATTGTCATATAACTGGCTTGTATTGTATTGTTTCAGAAAATGCGATGAGCTTCTTGGATTTAATATATCACCTGTTCCATCAGGACACTGTGTACATAGCAGAAGTACTAGACTGTCCCAGATTCCACTACAACGGTCTGATATGTAGTCTGAATGGATCTGTCTTTTCCCATCAGCCTAGCGCAGTGCAGAGGCTCACACCGCGGGAGGAGAGCGCAGACCTGCAGAGGCTCACACCGCGGGAGGCGAGCGCAGATCTGCAGTGGCTCACACCGCGGGAGGAGAGCGCAGATCTGCAGTGGCTCGTGCCTGAGATTTATAGGGCTTTGCTGCTCCGCTCCCAGCACTGTCCAGGGAGGGAATACGTACAGCGGCAGCATTTTCCATCCTACAGAGCAGTGGTTCTCAAATGGGGGTACGCGGACCCCTAGGGGTACGTTGGAGTACTGCAGGGGGTACGTGAGATTTATTTTATGTTAATGAGAAAAAAAAACATAAGTAATGCATTTAAACAAACTACTTTACAGTAATTCTGGATAATAAAACGGGAACAATAAACGGGGTTCTCTCTTTTCCTCTCCCTCTCCTGACAGCCCGTCAGTCTCGTGCAGCTCGCTGAACCTGTAATAAGTGACCCGACAGTAAAGAATACATATATTTATAACTAGTTTAGCTAGTTCCAGAGTAGATAAACTAGCTAAGTGTGTTAGGTCTAACTCTTAGTGTATTTAATTTTGCTCCACTCAACGGTCCGTCACAGCGGCGGAGCTGTGATCATGCAGAGCTGCGTGTTCTCCGTCAGCAGCAGCTGATCTCTGATCTCTCTCTCGCGTCCGGTTAGACTTCACTCGCGTTTATGTGCAAATCTATCAGATCTAGCTAGTTCTAGTTAATTATATGACTGCCTGCTTATCAAAGGACATCTAAACAATAAGCGTTGCTTGGCAACGGCGTGTGGCCGCAAAGTATAGCGCAGCATTATGCATATGCATGAGGGGTCAAAATCCCATGCTCATAAAATGCTCATATATATTTTTTCTCTTCAAGCAAAAAGCGTTTAAAATGCTTGTTATCCAAATGGACTTTGGATAAATCAGGGCCAGGCTAAGCTACTGTTGTAGCTGTGACTTTATTGGTCATGCCAAATAGTCCTTTTGTAAACATGCCTTTATAAATCATATTTAGTTTGGTCCCTACACAAGTATTAGACGGAGCTCTGAGTGTTCCGTGAAGTCATGTGACCGTGATTTAGTTCCTTTATAACCAAACACTAACTTTCTGCTTATGCCATTGCATTACATATTAAAGTAGTGTTAATATGTCGAGATGATCCTGCTGAACAAAGCTTGTAAGAATGTTTGCCAAAGACAGTCCTTGCTATGCTGACTTTCAGGTCGGCCTACATGAAAAAGACCCCGCTGCACCACTCAGAAGTCATCTTTCCTAAAATGTGAAATGATTCCTTTCCATGCTATCCTTATCCTGACACTGACAATTATTTTGAGTTATGAATCCAGATGTCCCAACAGTGTAATAATACCCTACTGAGTGAAAGTACTGCATTGGTACCTGGTGCTAGCTGATCCACACATCACAGGTGTGTTTTAGTCCCATGCTCTCCATTTCCTCATCAAAGGGAACTCCTGCAGACTTTACTGAAATATGAGTATAAATCTCACTGCTTTTAAAAGTGACATTTCAATCCAGGCTTATCTTTTCATACTCAGATGTATCTTTACTTCTTTGTTTATTTCACAAAGGCAAGGATACAGAGACATGCTTTTTCCTAGTGAGCAGAATGGTTGAGTATTACATTTTCCATCACAGAAACACGGAGTAAAATAAGATAGAAGAACTACAAAAACTGAAAAAGTAATCTCTTCCATGAGGATCGAGAGAGAGCAAGAACCCTGCAGGGGGCTGTAACTCTTCCACAACATGTAAACAGACCGCCTGCTGACAGTGGCAGGATGGATGGAGGGAGACACAAACATCTGCTCTCCGAAAAACAAACAGCCCAGGAGGCTTTGGAGCAATTGGAGAGTGATAGAGTAGAGGAGGGGGAATCAAGTCACTCTCTGGATCTAATCCCAGCACGAGGGTGAACAGATAAATCACGGCCTGAGTGAAGCAGTGAGATTGTTCCCTGTGCAGCACTTCTCTGCAAAAATACTGTCTAGATTTCTCCACCTCACAACACAATAACATACACCGATAATGACTGGTGGCAGTCAGAGGAAAACTACAGCTGTAACCTTTGAATTAAACGCTGTTATTGCAGCATGACATGAGCATTAGCATTTGTAGCTGTGTATAGCTCCCAGCGCTACTGAAAGCTTCACCTCCTCCCTCTATCCCCGATCTCAGTCCGAAATAGCTCCCTACGTTTAGTAACAACAGCGGTGAGTGACAGCAACATAGTGACCACAGCTTATAGGACGACTTAAGAGCATGGAGCAAAGATAATTATTCTACTTCCTCTTTAAGGCTACAGCTCTCTCCAAGTACCAAATGAGTCCCCTAAAGTCGGCCTGAGCAACAATATGAGTCATCCCTGAACCAAAACAGTTTCATAACTGTGCAGACACACAGCGCTGGCAGTCTAATGGGAAGCAGGACGGAAAGTGACAACCATCTTCCATTCGGTCGAGTTTGGGAGGACGTTTAACAAGAGAAGAGGCCGATGACCTATTGATGCGTAAACCAGCCAACACACACACACACGCACACACACGCACTTGTTCTCAACCCTGAAGCTATTAGCGCTAAAAACTCTGGCACCAGGCATCCGTCCAGCTCCACTGCCAGTTAATATGGATGGTGATATAAACAGGACATTTCATCAGTTCCTATGGAGTTATGGCGAGATGAAGTCTACCCAGATCACCAGTCCCACGTGCCTTTCACCCCCCCCCCGCCTTACATGACGGTGTTCTCCAGCTGCCGTAAGCTCATTCATTCCCCTAAAAGGATGCTGCATTTTTTTCCCTCAGGCTTAGGATATTAGTAGAGTCAAGCCTGTTCAAAATAATCCTCCCGAGCTAAAAAAATAAATAAAAAAGGGATGTTGAAAAATGAGAGTGGGGGAGAAACTGGCGGCAGGTTCTCCAGATGCAGCGTATTATCATCTGCCTATGGAATGTCAGATATTTCCAGAGCTTCTTTAATAGCTTTCCTAATATGACACACAGCAGCTCCTGGGCCAGAGGGAGGGATGTAGACGAGCTCTGATCACCTGACAAAACTTTACCAAAACACTTCTTGGGTCAGAACTCTCGGCAGAAGAAGACATAATAGAGGAAGCAATACGAGAATTTCTTTCTTACAGAAATTAAAAATATTTCGGGTTGAGAAAATTTAAACTTGAAATACTCTACCATAACAATCCAAGAAAGTATCCTATGTGTCACCCGATTTATTACCTCAGTAAACAATTGTCCAATTAATGAACGATCTTAAATGCTAGTTTCAAGTCTTCATCAATACAGCATGATGTTGGATGACTTGGGGACGATGTCCACTTTGTATACATTCTACGGAAAGGACACAAGATGACCATGAGGAAGAAGGACTATTTCAATCTATTTAAAGTATTTATTTTCTATTCTGAAAGCCAGTTAGGAGTCGGTATGAGCTATATTTTGATTTATAGATAAAAATAGATGTTCTTGCCGTTAGTTTAAATGTACCTTTTATTTAGTGTTTTAGTGTTCTCCTTATACTTCCATGATGCAATCACGCTAATGCAGAAGAAGGCGTGGTTAAATATAAACTGTTGTAAAAATGATACACACGATTTGGGCACCTCGTGTTGTATGTATCGAAGACAGGTGATATTAGTAGTATTGGCAAATGTTTTTCTACCAGGGTGAAAGAAGGAAGGCTGAAGGAAAGAATGTCAACTCTTTGTTCTTTTGTTATTGGCATAAAATTAAAAAAAGGATATTCTTGCCTGGACTTCGGTTTTTCTCTGCAAAGATGAGTTATCTGGTGCCTCAGCGGCAGTTTTATTTGGAGTTAATTTTCTGGTTTATTTCTTTGACTTTCGCAGCTACAGAGTCAATGGTTACTATGTGTGTGTTTCTGTGAGATGACAACAGGGGTTCGCTCAGATAAACAGACACCTCCATGGTGGCCCAGCTTGGTTCACGAATCCTGCGTAACACGATTCTTTACAAAACTTAAAAATGGAGAAGCACCCGAGGAGATATTTATTGCTGTAGACTTTGATGTGTGATGGGAAAACAGATAATGCTCTGAGAATGTGTCCGTACCTTTAGGTGGGAAGTAGGACTTGCTCTCCGCTTTGTGGGGCCAGTCCACCACCAGGTGCCCATAGCGACGGAAACTGTTGGTGATCTCATCTGTAAAACGAAGGAAATGGAAGAGGAAACTTGACTGTTATTTTCATGACATGATAAGATACTCATGTAATATGCATTTCAAAGACTATATGGAGAAACACACTCAGATACACACTCTGCTGAGATAGGCCCGCTTCTATTTTCTGCCGTGTTCCAGGCGCTGCATTAAACAGAAACACGGGCCGGGCACATCCAGACTCGTGCCGTGGAAACTCATGAATCTTTCAGCCAGCTAAGGGCACGTATTGTGCATCATGTGCTCGTTTAACAGCGTAGACACCATGGGCGGGGGGGGGGGCAACAAGGACCAGTGCCCCTGTAACACTGAGTTTGGACCCCCCTGTGGCCCCCCTCAGAAAGAAGAGTCTATGATAATACAATCTGTGATAGTGCTGTAACTTGAGCCAAAGTTAACGGGCATGTGTTTTCTTTTAAATTTGTTTCTTTGTTTTGTTTTTCTCTAATTTAATTACATTTAACTAAGTTACTGACACAAATTCTGACCCTACAATAAAGTAACTGGCCCCAGCATGCCCCCCCCCCACCCCCCAGTACCCAGGTCTGGAACCACCACTGGTAGACACATGTGAAAGGAGACGTTTCATATCAATCAGAAGTTGTAGACTAAAAGGCAAAAGCATTACTTTAAAAACCTACAAATTCACAAAGGGTTTAAAAGCATTGACAATTTTCTTAGCAAGTAAATAAGCTTATTTCCTAACATTTTGAAGGCAGCCAACTTATAGCAAGGCTTTATTTGATTAGTTGTATTGCTTAATTGAGTGGTGCAGTGATGATGTGACTTTGTAGGCCAACCCGGGAGTTGCAAGGGCTCCCTGAACTAAAGGGATTTTTACATTTTATTTTTGAATATTGCAGGAAATAAGCTCTCTGGCACATGAGGATACTTAGATGTTAGACGTTTCAAATTGTACAGCAAACCCCCACTCATATAGTGACGCTATTAGGTAGTAGAAGATGTTAAGTTATAAACGATATCATGGCCGCATGACTTCACCTCAACCGCCAAGCTAAAGGAAGCTAATGTTCGGTGTGATGACGTTTACCATTCTAATTTAGCCACTTGTAGCGACCACTGTTTTTAAGACAAGGCAAGGCTAAGTAAAAAGCTTCAGAAAATCCTGAGTCGGGGATTTACTGTACAAAACAAAACTTGAACATTTATTACGTTTGTGTTAACCACAGACCCTTTTTTGGGAATCTAACCAAAACCTAATTCAAATAAATATTGACTTTAAGAAGAGGGATTTAGACTAATATCTTGAAAGAATATCCTCAACAAGGAGTGCTTTGAGTAGTTTTCAAATGCTTGAGTGTAACTGTTAGCAGCAAAAAGCCAATAACAAGGTGCACTGTGAGGCTTCCAGTGTAAATGTACTATACCTTATTAGTATACATCTACAGCAGGCAGGAGCTAAAGCAGCCTGAAGTTAGCTGAGGAGCGTTCGCTGGATGAGTCATGGAAAACGATCCTCTGTTTACCTTCATCTATGTCAGGGGGGAGGCCTCCGACAAAGACCTTCCTGGAGTAGCGCTCCATCCTCTCTCCGTTCTGGCAGCGGGTCGGCGAGTTCAGGCCCGGGGTCAAAGAGGGGTCACCGTGACCGTCGTCCAGGAAACCATCTTCAAAGGGAAAAAGACAGGAACGGCCTAGGAAAAAAGGAAAAGAGAAGGACACCAGGAAGAGAGACGGGGATAACAGGGGGAAGGAAGAGAGGTACACGAGTGTGATGTAAGGAAAGAAAGGGAGAGAGGGGGTTACAGATGAATTAATGAAATACTGCAAACTATTTATATAGCAGAATCAGTTTGGAAGTAGAGATTACCTTCATAATTCTGATATGATACATGATGGTCCCAAGTGATAATATGTTAATGTTTGTTGTGGCGAAATCAAGTTACAATGTCAAATTTACGTCCATCCACATAGGGGAAATTGCTCGGAAATGTGAAATGTCACAACAGTTGTATCATGGTCTCATGGTCAATATTTCAGTGGATTTTTCGATGGTGTTGTAGCTTGTCCAAACATAATATGCATGTTCTATGCAGTTGTCTCTCTTTCTTTAGCAGGGATAACATTTGAATGATAGCAATCACAAAGCTATGAATCTAACTTCTGTCTCCTATACCCAATACTGCGGTGACCTTACAAGTCACATGGCAGCTTCCCTCCTTGCTGAAGAAAGACAGAATTAGTCAAAATACACAAATCAAATCAGAGATGAGCCACGTTGGAAGCACCCATCTTTTGCCATTCAGATGATGAATCAGTTCTGAGTCAGCGTTCATTAAAGCCCTCCAGATTGATTTCAGAACAACTCCAACTAAACATGCTTTAACATTTAAAAAGGTTTGATTTGGTTGAGAAAGGAGCAAAAACAGATCATGTGTTTTTAATGTATTGTAAGCTTCTGTTGTGTAAAATGGGATGTATTTGCATCCCTTGTTTGCCCTATTGTGTTTTTAATAAACACTGCGGCCGAAACACTGACTCAGAATAGAGAGAAAAGGAAATGGTCATTCAGAAGTGTGTTCCCTCTCACCATCAAGCAAACAAGTTCATTTACAAAGACAGATTTCAGTGACCCCCATCTTGATTAAATGCACAATGTGAAAAACTGTGTCAAAATGAATATGATTCCATTCAATCACAGCACAGATGAAAAGCACATAGTTACACCACGATAACACCCCCCCCCCCCCCCCTCCCCCTCCCCCCCCCTCAGCCTCGGAGACGGCGTGGCAAGCAGAACCCCCCCGAGAACATTTTACCTCTTCTGCGGCCATAGCTCCGGGCTGCTTGTCAGCACATGGGGGGAGAGACAGGGAGAAGACACAGGGTTGGGACAGGAACAGGGGGAGGAAAAAAGATACAGAGACATGGGTTTTGTGGAAGTAAACCAAAACCGAGAACATCTCTACGGCAACAGAGAAACCACAGATGGCTATACCTAAGCTTCGGGAGGGGGGGTGATTATCACCGCCTGGCACCCGCCCACGGTAAACCTGCTGCACCTGCCTTGGCAACAGTTGCCGGCAGATGCTGGGGGAGTGTGGCACGATAGGTGAGGTTTTGCCACGGAAACGGTGCAGATATTTAGCAGCATTATGCGACACAGCCATGGCCAGAGATCCTAATCTGGGTTTAATGAACCCGTAATTGCTCACATCCGTGATAATCTGCTGTGAATATTCACAAATGAGGCCATAAAGAGGAGTGCATGTAGGACCCAAGATAAAGCAGGTTAGTCATTATCATGGCCTCGGTGAAGTATTAAAGGTAGCTCTCAGATTGGGTACGGCAGGCCAGGGGTGAGTGGAAACTTCCCACAGGAGAGGAGAGAGCCACAGGGCTTTAAAGAGGGGAGGGTAACATGCAGAGAGGGGGGGGGGGGGGCAGTGGAGAGCAGGATATGATGATGGCATGGCTTTTTTTATAATTTATTTATAGACATTTTATGACTGGTGCAGTTTTGTGCAGTTACAGCATGAGTAGTCATGGCAACATCTTTAAGAGGAAGAGAAAAGTCAAGAAAAAATGCCAAGTCATTGTCTGGAGATTGATTATGTCTGCTCTACATTGATCTTTGACCTCTCACTTTCTCTAAGGCTGAAGGGATGAAATGCTGATGTGTCAATGCACTGAATTAAATGAAATCCAAGGAAATAAAGATAACAACTGAGGGTCCACTTGCCAAATAAACAACTTACTTAAAGGTGGGGTAGGTAAGTTTTGAGAAACCGGCTCGAGATACACTTTTTGTTATATTCCATGGAATGCTCTTAACATCCCGATAGCAATGATTATCTTAAGCGCTTTGACAAAGAATCCATAAAAAAAAGTCATCTGTGGAAGCCGTAGTGCTGTAAAAAGCACGACCAATCATCTGAGCCGGCCCAGCTAAAGTAACTGGATGGCCTACCTACCTGTCAGCCTTCCATCTGTGCACAAACTTATCTCGTGCCCTCATTGGTCATGTGCGCGTTCCTGTGTCTTGGAGGAGGGGCTCTGGAAGGAAGTGGCAGATTTCTTCCGGCTGTCTATCTTCAAATTCTAGCTCACTCGAGCTGGTTTCTCCAAAATTACCTACACCACCTTTAAATCCCCATGAGCAATCTCCATCTACTGAGGAAGACCAAGAGCTACAGTTGAAAGCTAGTAAGCTGATTTTGAATTATGGTGTTTTTTTCCCATTGCGGTCAATAGCTCGTTTCTGTTTTCCCACATATACAACCACCTAGTATCGCGTGCCAAACTTTCTAAAACCTAGGTCATGTGATGCGATTTTCATTTACCGAGGAAGACCAGGAGCTGCAGTTGAAAGCTTCAGCCAGAGATATTAAGTGAATGTTTTAGATTGTCCCCCCATTGTGCTCACTACATGTTACTGTCTTCCCCCATTTACAATCACCTGTTAATTATCGTGTGCCAAAGACTCTATTCTTAAGTCATGTGATGACAACTGAGCAAACTCCATCCACTAAAAAAGACTTGTATGCTCACTTGAAGCTCAAGAAGACGATAGTAAGTGGACTTCAGAGTTATTTTCCAAAGTGTTTTTCACATATGATGATAAAAAACACATACTGGGCATCACAAATCTTCTTTCAGAATTGTGTTTGAGGGTTTCTCTAAAATCGTCTCACAAACATGTGTAATTTGAATCTGCTGTGCCACTAATTCAACTGGAGACAAAATGTGCCTTAAGACAGGGCAAATTCAAACAAACAGCAGGAGGGGAACAGATCCTCTGGGTCCTCTAAACGCATCAGTCACAAAGCAGACTCATCACCTCAAAAAAACAATTTGGGCCTTTGCATTGTGAGAGGCCCATTGTGTAACTCGCCTCTCTGGCTTCTCTCGGGAATATATTGTCTCTGAGCCTCCCTTGCTATGTTTTCATTAAAGAAGATCTAGCTGTCCAATCCCAAAACAAAAAAACTAAACCAGCCTCTGTTGCCCTCTCACCGTCTGCCAGAAACAAAGTCACCTAGCAACCAGGGCAAAATTAAGAAAGGGTTATGTGGGAAACAGTCCAATGAGGGAAAGGAGGAAAGGGAAAAGTGAGGGTTAAGAATAAGGACCAGAGGTGGAAGGAGTACTCTGTTATGTCTTTACTTAAGAACAATATCTAAGTGTAGGACTACTCTGTTAAAAGTGAAAGTTCTGCATTCAAAATGTTTCTCAAGTAAAAGTACAAAAGTATTAGCATCAAAATATACTTAAAGTACCAAAAGTCAAATGAATCATTTTGCAGAATGGCCGAGTTCGCAATCTTATACTGTATATTATGTTTTGATTATAATTATTGATGTGCTTACCTGGTAAAGTGGCAGCTAATTTTAATTACTTTATATTCTGCTGAGTCATGTGAGTTTAATCTAGTTGTAACTAAAGTCTTGTTTAAGTGTTGATCATATATTGTTTATCATTAGTCTATATCTGCAAAGTAACTCAAGGTACTACAGCAATGTAATGGAGTCAAAGTACACTTTGTATCTCTGATTTGTATTGGGGTAGAAGTGCAAAGTAGCATACCATGGAAATACTCAAATAAAGTACCTCAGTACCTAATTGTACTTAAGTACAGTACTTGAGTGAATGTACTTGGTTACTTTAAACCACTGATAAGCACCAACTATAAGCCGTGTGGTGTCTGGGTGAGGGAGAAAATGTTTGGGTAATTCCTCTGGGCATGATGAGTTTGAGGTCTTGGCTTCAAAGCTTCATACACTTCTACTAAGCTGTCAAGTGAACAACACCAATACATCTGAATGGAGGACCTTCACTTACTATACTACACTCTTTCTTCTTCACTTCAAGTGCTAACACCATCCGGAGAAACTCGAGCCACTTAAAGGGTTCTCACAGCGTGAAGCCTCAAAGCTAATGGGACCAAATGAAGGAGAAACAGAGTAAAACACTTTATAGGAGAAACCAAAGATTCCCTGTCTGCACACATCACAGGCTACAGCGGAGAGGAACTGCTCTGACAGATTTGGAAGATCTGCCTGAGAGCAATCCCATGACAGAACAGTGGAAATCACTCCGGGACAGGTTCTCAGGGGATGCAGACGATGAAAAGAACAATGAGGAGGAGCACCATTGTTGTCAAGATTCAGGGAGACAGTTATTGTTATGTTGGATATCCTCTGCCTTTATCCGACTGCACACACCGTAGGCTGATTTAACATGCAAGAGGACACTAGGGCTTCACTGGTTTGGTTTGATCACCAGTCAGTCCAGACATCCCTGATATTTTGCTGAGGTTTGAACAAAAAGACTGGAAAAATGAAAGCTCCTAAATTAAATTAATGGAGATGGACAAAACATGGGTGTTTAAAACCCAAAGAAATCACAGCCAGACCCAATCTAAACATAAATATAGTGGTGCAGTGATGACGTATCTTTTGTAGGCAGACCCGGAAGTTAGCGTCACTAGTGCTCCATCGGAAAAAAAAAAGCTCTGGGGCAAACACACGTTTATGATACTTACACATTTTGTTCAGCAGGATAATCTCCACATATTAACAGCACTTTTATAGTCGCTGAAGCATAAATGCAGAAGTAATAAACAAACATTAAGCTATAAATAAACTACACCATGGTCACATGACTTCATGTCAACAGCGCTAAGCTAAAGGCGGCTAATGCTCTGCGTGATGACATTTAGTAGTCTAATTTGGTCACTTGACTGCAGTTTAAATGATGTGCAGAAGTTTCGGACAATCACCAGTGGGGTGTTTACATACATATTTGATGTTGTAGAACAAAATGTGAAAAGCTCTTTAGCTTGTCTTAACCAAAGACCAATTTTCAGGCATCTAACCAAAAATGCATTAAAAAAACCATAGACTGTTTTAATGACACAAAGAAGCTTCGGACATTTAAGGGTGTGGAATTTACTGACGTATTTTATGCGAAACAAAAATGGTAAATTGTCTGAAGCTTGCATTATTTCAGACATCTGACCAAAAACACATTAAAAAAATAAGCGTTAACTTTAAATTGTGTGAATCGGAGGAGGTTAAATGCTTACTAATTTCCGGGCTTTAGAACTCAATCCTACACCACTCTATAAAGAGCATTTAGAAGGTTGATGGAAAACTTTGTGGCATCCATGTAGCAACATATCAGGTAAAGACCTGAGTACTCTGTGACTCTGTGACTGCTGGTCATCTGCTGTATTGGGGGGGGGGGATCTAGTCTTACATGCTGGGGTATTTTTGAAAGTGCTATTCACAGGTCGACCGTGCTTCGCCCCATTGCTGAGAGGTCTGCCCTAGGTTTGCGGTGTCAGGGAATCCAGAGGCAAAGGGTAGGCAGGTGTGCCCAGCAGGGTTAATTTTGTCATACAAAAAAACAATGGCTAAATCTGGTTGTCGCAACCTTTTTGACGATGATTCACACAAGACGATGACGATGCGGCACAGAAGTCATTAATGAAAAATGTTGGTTGTTGAGCTGACAGTGGCCAGTTCAAAACCCTAGTCTCCAATTAATTGTTGCAGGAATGATTCCTGAAACCTGGAAATTATTTAGCATTTTACAACATCCAGTTGCCTCGTCTTGAAGTCAATTATTTTGTTCAAATTGTCTTAGATTATACGTCTGAAATAAGATATGTAGGTAACACAAGTTTAAGAGATTTTCATGTTTTGTCCAGGACATACAATACGTCAGTACCGCACTTGTTATTGTCCGAAGCCATTACGAGTCATAAAAACGGCGGTTGCTACCAAGAAACAAAATGTACTAATAATAATAACACCGAACGCTAGCCGCCTTTAACTTAGCGGTGATGATGTGCAGCAACTTTAGCTTTTTAATTCTGGTGATTGTAGAGACTATCCTGCTTAACAAAACATGTTGATGGCTCCTTGCAATGCTTACTTTCTAGTTAGCCCACACAAGTACATCATCACAGCACCACTCTATGAACACTGACCTGGCCCACTGTGGTGAGGGGGTAAATGTGTTTCATTGGAACGCACCGCAGAAACATTTCCCACTCCCTAATTCCTTCAAAGGACCAAAAGCAATTTGAACACTTTCATTCGTAAAACTGGGACGATTCTGATGAATTCCAGATGGAACAGAAGATGATAGGCATAAAATGTGACTTACTATTCAGTGGCATGATGTGCTCTGCTCCAGGATGATGGAAGTTCAGGCCCATGCGTCCTGTTGTAGAAAAAATAAAGGAAAATCACTTATAAAAGCCACTCTGTTGACAGACATTACATTTCATCTTCCATTCTTTGTTGGCAATGTGAAAATGCCAGCCAAGATACAATGTTAAACATGAAATGAGTAAACATTTATTTTACCCGATGATTCAATGGCACAAAGGAGAACCATAAACTACAGATGGAAAAATCAAGAGGGAAACATTCTTTTGTTGTCACATCCCTCATTTACAAAAGCCCCCGCATACAAAAACAAAGGCATCTGTAATGCTACAAATTCAACAGAGCATGCATTCTGCAATGGTGACAACGTGTGCATGGTACAATAGCCCATCTGTCAGCTTTTGTGGGGAGACGGGTGGTGTGGGACTAAATGGAATGTCTTCCTGGTTATCTCGGTCTCATCATCCTATCCATACAGGCGACAACAAGAGAGGTACACACAAATGCGAGGGTCTGGATACTTTAAATTGTACTTGCATGAAGTACTAATCCTCAGTCTGTGTATAACTTACTGAAGAACAAGGTTGGCACACTCCCAGTTTGGGGGAGAATTCAGGAGTTACTGCACAGAAGCTAAGTAATTTCCATTTTAAAAACACGTCAAAGCTGTGAAGGGTGGCAGTAGTAAAACTGATTTTAGCCACCTACAAAAACGCCTATCAAGAAATTCAATATCAGTTGAAGTGTATGATATTGAGCGTATTAAATATATTTATTTTGTCGTAATACAGCTATAAAGGCTATATTTCTGACGGGGAACACAAACTAACTAATCAATCGAGGTAGAGGTGGGACCAGCGACTCCGGTAAAATTGTTTGTTAATTTTTCAATAGTGTTTAGTGGATTTAGTGAAAGAGTAGATGGTTCCCTTTTAAATAGAGCTGTATTATGGCATCTACTGTAGTTAATACGCTGACAATGGATATACCTTATACGAACCCACTTTAAAACATTCAAATTATCCCTGTAAGCCATTGTAAAAATATCCTACCTGGGTTTACACAAAACTCGCTGTCTCAATGTCAACATCATCTAAAGTGGCAGCCACAAAGACACACCCTTCATCCCTTACCACTTCAAATTAGTGCTCTGTCAAAATCCGCCTAGACAAGTGTTACTAAACACACAACAAACAAGCAGCCTGGATAACGTCATTCAGGAAGGACAAAGCTACTGGGATACCCATCGATATTTGCCATAAGCTCTTGAGATCTCTCAGGTCTTCAGGGACTGGTCAGCTTTCTGTCCCCAGAGTCAGAACTAAACATGGAGAAGCAGCGTTCAGTTATTATGCTCCAAATATCTGGAACAAACTCCCAGAAACCTGCAGGTCCGCTGCAACTCTGACTACTTTTAAATCCAGGCTGAAGACTTTTCTTTTTGTTGCTGCTTTTTGAAACTGAGCCGTTGTGTTCATCAGTAAAGTGGAACTTCTGTGTGAACTATTCATATCTTAAACTGCACTGTAACTTTTTATTCATGTATTTTTTCTTTTAATGTTTCTTTTATTATCTTTTCTTTTTAATGACTGTTTTTAAATGCCTTTGTCTGAATGTCTTTCATTTTTGTAAAGCACCTTGAATTGCCTTGGGTTGCAAGGTGCTATTTAAATAAACTTGCCTTGCCTTGAGATGAATAAAAAAGCATTTCTTAAAAACGTAAAACTGTGGTGGTCAAAAGGAACAATTGTAACTAATATCTTGCATCAATTCCACATTTATTTTCTCAATGGACTTTGAGAGACTGACCAGCTGTATGCAAGCTCAAATGGAGCAAACAAGATGACATGTCAATATTTTCCAAATTTGTCCGAGGAAGACAAATAGTTAAGACAGCGGGGGGGGGGGGGGGGCCTTCCTGGCCTGCAAACAAGCATTGGAACTACCAGTTAGACCTGGTTGAAAACCAGAGAGGGAGGGTAGTGGGAGGACAGGGGGGCCACCCTGCAGCGCCACAGATGTGGATTTCCACACTCCTCTCAGCCAGTCACAATCCAGACAGCAGTACTCCAGGGCAAATGCAGAGCGAAACCCCACACACACACACACACACACACACACACACACACACACACACACACACACACACACACACACACACACACACACACACACACACACACACACACACACACACACACACACACACACACACACACACACACACACACACACACACACACACACACACACACACACACACACACACACACACACACACACATACACACACACACACACACACACACACACACACACACACACACACACACACACACACACCACACACACACACACACACACACACACACCACACACACACATCACACACACACACACACACACACACACACACACACACACACACACACACACACACACACACACACACACACACACACACCTCGCTATCATGTGTATTGGTTAATGTGTGGGTGGTGTATGTAGTGTTTAAGGCCAGATGACTGACTGCCTCAAATGTTCTTCACAGAATCCCTTCTAGTTCCAGAGCAGTCTGTTCCTCATGATATAGTACCACTGGATTTAAATTCATAACACTGCATTACCAGTACTCGATAAATTGACATTACATTTAACAGACGCTTTTATTTAAAGCATCTTAAAAAAAGATCCAATATACAATATATACACTGAACAAAAATATAAACGCAACACTTTTGTTTTTGCTCCCATTTTTCATGAGATGAACTCAAAGATCTAAAACATTTTCTATATACACAAAATAACCATTTATCTCAAATATTGTTCACAAATCTGAAAAAATCTGTGATAGTGAGCACTTCTCCTTTGCCGAGATAATCCATCCCACCTCACAGGTGTGGCATATCAAGATGCTGATTAGACAGCATGATTATTGCACAGGTGTGCCTTAGGCTGGCCACAATAAAAGGCCACTCTGAAACGTGCATTTTTGCTTTATTGGGGGGTCCGAAAACCAGTGAGTATTAGGTTAGGGTAATGTTGTGAATCGAGTGGCCCATGGTGGTGGTGGGGTTATGGTATGGGCAGGCGTATGTTATGGACGACGAACACAGGTGCATTTTATTGATTGCATTGTGAATGCACAGAAATACCGTGACGAGATCCTGAGGCCCATTGTTGTGCCATTCATCCACGACCATCACCTCATGTTGCAGCATGATAATGCACGGCCCCATGTTGCAAGGATCTGTACACAATTCCTGGAGGCTGAAAACATCCCAGTTCTTGCATGGCCAGCATACTCACCGGACATGTCACCCATTGAGCATGTTTGAGATGCTCTGGATCGGCGTATATGCCAGCGTGTTCAGTTCCTGCCAATATCCAGCAACTTCGCACAGCCATTGAAGAGGAGTGGACCAACATTCCACAGGCCACAATCAACAACCTGATCAACTCTATGCGAAGGAGATGTGTTGCACTGCGTGAGGCAAATGGTGGTCACACCAGATACTGACTGGTTTTCGGACCCCCCCCCAAAAAAGCAAAACTGCACGTTTCAGAGTGGCCTTTTATTGTGGCCAGCCTAAGGCACACCTGTGCAATAATCATGCTGTCTAATCAGCATCTTGATATGCCACACCTGTGAGGTGGGATGGATTATCTCGGCAAAGGAGAAGTGCTCACTATCACAGATTTTTTCAGATTTGTGAACAATATTTGAGAGAAATGGTTATTTTGTGTATATAGAAAATGTTTTAGATCTTTGAGTTCATCTCATGAAAAATGGGAGCAAAAACAAAAGTGTTGCATTTATATTTTTCTTCAGTGTATAAAGATACAAACTAAAAACAGCAAGATACCAGTACATTTGTTTTTTTTTAAAAAAGAAGTAGTTTTTTGTGTGAGAGGTTTAATGGCCAAGATGCAGTTGAAACTGGGGGTTTTCAGTCTGCTACGGAACATGTGTAGACTTTCAGCAGTCCTGATATCAATGTGGAGCTCGTTCCACCATTTTGGAGCCAGGATAGCAAACAGGTGAGTTTTGTTTTGGGGTATCTGGGTCCGTGTATTGGGGGCGTAGCAAGCCGATTGGTGGATGCAGAGCAGAGTGCACGTGCTGGGTCAAAATTACTCTTATTATTGTATCGTTCTTCCTTGCAATTTGGGGCTCAGTTTAATGCCCAAAGACAATTTAACATGTTGACAGCAGGGGCCTGGGGTCAAACCACTGTACCTCCAGAGCCACAGCAACCCACTGAACAGATTAACATTCAAAGGATTGACTTTGCTGATTGGAGGGCAAAAGTCACAACAAACAGTGTGGTCAGTGCTTCCCATTCGGTCAACACCAGTCATTTTGGGTGACAGAGGGGGACAGTTGCCCTCATGAAGCCTTTAAATAGCTCTGGGCATGTGCCATCTGCTTTCCTGAAGGAGTTGAGTAGCAGGGCCTGAGGGGCCCCTGAGTTGTTGCTGCTGCTATTCTGGTGACATTTCCTCACAGAGAGCCTGAGCTATACTCGACCTCCCCATGATGGTAGCGCGATCACTCAGGAGACTAAATCTCTACCCACCGGTCTGACAGTACCTCCCTTTCACACGGCTCTCAATCTGACTGGACAGTGACCTCACCATGAACGCTTTCGTATAAATGAAATAAAGAGGAGGGGCTGGATTAGCTGCATATAGCCAGTGGCCCTAATTTGGGATCTGGTGACCAAGCTTTTTCCACAGGTTTTTGGAAGACTGTGGTAGGTGGACCCAGACCCTCTAGGGCAGGTTGTATAGGTTATTATGCTATGATTTTACTGGTCTGGCCCACTTGAGGTCAAATTTGGCTATATGTGGCCCCTGAACTAAAATGAGTTTGACACTCCTGCTCTAGGGAGCTCTGGGGCATTCTTCTTTGGAAGAACATTTAGTGGATCATAAAGGTAAATAAAAGTATGTAGTCAAATGTGAGAGCAAAATAAGGAGCTATCTATAAAGAAAGATAAACTCTTGTAAACATTTATCTTTAAAGACAATGTTCGTATAGACATGCAT